AGGCAGAGACGACCAATATTCGTAATTTCTGCAATATTACAAAATTTTATGTGTTAAAGGTTAAAATGTGGAAAATTAATAGGTGATATGACTTTTATGGTTCGCATATTCGGAATGAGCACATCAAATAACACTGTGATTAGTGTAAATTATTAAAAAAGCTTTTTCATCGTTGGCCTGTGTTAATAACCAATTAATAATTTTTTTAAACTATCACACGTTTTGATATTTTTCTTTTTCTCTTAATAGATTTTTAATTTTGTTTATTTTTGTTATTGTTTGATTACAACAACAAATAGCACTAAAACAAAGATAATATCTTTTTGCTAAACAAATAAAACAACAACGATAAACAACAGACTAGTTAGTATGTGTATCTTTTTCTCAGCATTTTGCTTCCTCTTGATTCTCTAAAACACATTTGTATTTAGTTAATTTTGTTGTTTTTGGGGTAGTTTCACGTGCTGCTTGTTATGGAACACCCACATGCGCACGTTACATTTAATAAGAAAAAAGCAAACAAAAAAGGAAAATGTATAAAATTTTACAAGAACAACTGGAAAAATATAAAGACAAATTTTTCAATTTAAGCCTGTTAAGTAGGGATATTTTTATATAAAACAAATATTTATTTTTGCAACAATTAATTTTTAAGAATTTGTGTTTAAATTTGTTTGTTATTTTAAAGTTGATTTATAATTTGTTTGGTTTAATAAGGAATTTTTTTTTTTTTTTGACTGTTTGTTATTTTTTTTTATTTTTGTATTTTTTGTTTTCATTTCTATTTTTCTTTCTTCATTTACTGTTGGCGTCTGGCTGGGTGGGTGTTGTCGTTTTTTTTAGCAACAAAAAAATTATATAGAAAGAAAATATAATTTTTTTCTGTTGTCTACTTTCAATTATAATTATTAATGGAGAGATTTTAAATATTAATTTAAAACAAATTGCTTTGTTTTTTCGAAAACAAAATCTAATTTTTTGTTGTTATTTTTTTCAAAAGCACCTTTTTTTGTTGTTAAATACTAAAATTAATAAATAATTTGTGGTAATTACTAAATTGATTATTTTATTTGAAAATTTTTGAGGTTTAATTAAGCTTTTTTTTCCATGTACATATATTTTGTTGTGTTTTTTTTTATTATTATTTTTTTTTCTATATTTTTAAACCATCCACTTTATTTTTGTTGTTTTCCCAACACACTCAATCACAAGTTTTTTTTTAAACACCGTCGCACTCGTCGTCGTCTTCTTCTACTTCTTCGTCGTTTAGGCACTTTAGACCAACTTTACCGCATAAAATCTTCACATCAACTGTTTTGTGTGGAAAATTGTGTTGCCTTTGCTGGCTGCCTCTGCTTGTTTGTGTCCGAAAAGATTTTGTTAAAACATTGGTTGGCCTGGCTAAATGACAAAAGCTTTTTGTTAGCTGTTTTTATTGTTATTGTTTGGTTTTAACGTTTTCTTACTTGTCTTTCTTCATCTCTTTTACTGTTGACATGATGTTTTTTTCGTTTTTCTTCCATTCACAGGTTGTTGTTTGTGTAATCACTCTCATTTTCTTTTTGAATCTACTCTCACGCACTTTTTTGCTCATCTCTCTCTCTCTCTCTCATATTTCTGTTTAAGGACATATTTTGACATTTGACGCATGCGCTTTAATTATGTAAACAAATGTGTGTAAAATTTTTTAACACACAACAGACTCAAGATTTTTTCAATGTTTCTGCTTTTGTTGTTGTTGCCTTTGCTCGAACATGATGTCAAACACATTTTCTGCAATGCTCAGCAAAACCGTCATGGTCTTGTAAACTACATTTATGCTCGTATCTGTCTGTCTGAGCGTTTGTATGTTTGAATTTGCAACATGTGATGACATCTAAGGGTTGACCGTTTATAGCAAGTGTTTAGATGTTTATAGCTGTTGACAAGTCTTTTTGTTTATATTTTTTAAATTTTTATAAGAATGTTAAAAAAATCAATGCGTAAATTTACTATAATTTTTAGTATCAATTAATGTTCTATTTATTTAAAAAATATACATTTTCTAGTTCTAAGTAGTTCAGTTCTAGTTCTAGTTCAGTTCTAGTTCAGTTCTAATTCAGTTCTAATTCAGATCTAGTACAGTTCTAGTTCAGTTCTAGTTCAGTTCTAGTTCAGTTCTAGTTCAGTTCTAATTCAGTTCTAGTTCTAGTTCAGTTCTAGTTCAGTTCTAGTTCAGTTCTAGTTCAGTTCTAGTTCAGTTCTAGTTCAGTTCTAGTTCAGTTCTAGTTCAGTTCTAGTTCAGTTCTAGTTCAGTTCTAGTTCAGTTCTAGTTCAGTTCTAGTTCAGTTCTAGTTCAGTTCTAGTTCAGTTCTAGTTCAGTTCTAGTTCAGTTCTAGTTCAGTTCTAGTTCAGTTCTAGTTCAGTTCTAGTTCAGTTCTAGTTCAGTTCTAGTTCAGTTCTAGTTCAGTTCTAGTTCAGTTCTAGTTCGGTTCTAGTTCAGTTGCAGTTCAGTTGCAGTCAAGTTCTAGTTCAGTTCTAGTTCAGTTCTAGTTCAGTTCTAGTTCAGTTCTAGTTCAGTTCTAGTTCAGTTCTAGTTCAGTTCTAGTTCAGTTCTAGTTCAGTTCTAGTTCAGTTCTAGTTCAGTTCTAGTTCAGTTTTAGCTCAGTTTTAGTTCAGTTCTAGTTCAGTTATAGTTCAGTTCTAGTTCAGTTATAGTTCAGTTCTACTTCAGTTCTAGTTCAGTTCTAATTCAGTTGTATGTCAGTTCTATTTCAGTTTGGTTCAAGTTCAGTTCTGTTTCAGTACCAGTTGAGTTCTAGTTCAGTTCTAGTTCAGTTCTAGTTCAGTTCTAGTTCAGTTCTAGTTCAGTTCTATTTCAGTTCTAGTTCAGTTCTAATTCAGTTGTATGTCAGTTCTATTTCAGTTCTGGTTCAGTTTGGTTCAAATTCAGTTCTGTTTCAGTTCTAGTTCAGTTCTAGTTCAGTTCTAATTCAGTTGTATGTCTGTTCTATTTCAGTTCTGCTTCAGTTTGGTTCAAGTTCATTTCTTTTTCAGTTCTAGTTCAGTTCTAATTCAGTTGTATGTCTGTTCTATTTCAGTTCTGGTTCAGTTTGGTTCAAGTTCAGTTCTGTTTCAGTTCTAGTTCAGTACCAGTTGAGTTCTATTTCAGTTCTAGTTCAGTTCTAGTTCAGTTCTAGTTCAGTTCTAGTTCAGTTCTAGTTCAGTTCTAGTTCAGTTCTAGTTCAGTTCTAGTTCAGTTCTAGTTCAGTTCTAGTTCAGTTCTAGTTCAGTTCTAGTTCAGTTCTAGTTCAGTTCTAGATCAGTTCTAATTCCATTCTAGTTCAGTTCTAGTTCAGTTTTAGTTCAGTTCTAGTTCAGTTCTAGTTCAGTTCTAGATCAGTTCTAATTCCATTCTAGTTCTAGTTCAGTTCTAGTTCAGTTCTATCTCAGTTCTAGTTCAGTTCTAGTTCAGTTCTAGTTCAGTTCTAGTTCAGTTCTAGTTCAGTTCTAGTTCAGTTCTATCTCAGTTCTAGTTCAGTTCTAGTTCTAGTTCTAGTTCAGTTCTAGTTCAGTTCTAGTTCAGTTCTAGTTCAGTTCTAGTTTAGTTCTAGTTTAGTTCTAGTTCCGTTCTAGTTCAGTTCTGGTTCAGTTTGGTTCAAGTTCAGTTCTAGTTCTGTTCTGGTTCAGTTCTAGTTCAGTCAGTTTTAGTTCAGTTCTATTTTAGTTCTATGTCCGTTCTAGTTCAGTTCAGTTCTATTTCAGTTCTAGTTCCGTTCTAGTTCAGTTCTAGTTTAGTTCTGGTTCAGTTTGGGTCAAGTTCAGTTCTAGTTCAGTTTTAGTTCAGTTCTAGTTCTAGTAGTAGTTCAGATCTAGTTCAGTTTAAGTTCAGTTCAAGTTCAGTTCAAGTTCAGTTCTAGTTCAGTTCTAGTTTAGATCTAGTTCAGTTCTACTTCAGTTTTAGTTCAGTTTTAGTTCAGTTCTAGTTCAGTTCTAGTTCAGTTCTAGTTCCGTTCCAGTTCAGTTCTATTCTTATTCAGTGCCTCGTTTCTGTAACTCTCGCATCGAGAAGTTTCTCGCATGAAACAGTGAAATTGAAGAAAAAACAATGTGAATTGAAACAAAATATCATTTCTCACATGCAAGTGTTTCTGTAAGAAAATTTTGTGAGAACTATCTGTCATTTATGTTTTTTGAAGTAAGTTATTGGAAATTTGTGAGTAAAAGTGTTTCTGTAAGAAAATTTTGTAAGAAGTTTCTCACATGAACTGTCAAAAAAACTCACATTTTAAAACGGTGCGGAAAGTAAAATTTTAATTAAAAAAAATTAATTTAAACATGAATTCTATGAAATAATGAAAAAGTAATGTTATATTTATAATTAATTAAGATTAAAATAAATATTGTTCACTAATTTTTAGAAAATACGAGGAATTTCGTATGTACAGAAGCAAATGCTAAAAAAGTACGTGGGCGTAAATTTGGAATTTCGCAAGGGCGAATTTAGTGGGATAATTTTTCGAACAATTTTCATTTAATTTCTATATTTTTTGTTTATTTATTCTTCGTTTATAAATTTGTTCGTTTTCTTCTTTTAATTTTTATATTTTTGACAGCTGTTTTATTGGAAATTTCCAATAAAAACGTAATTCGTGTAGCCTCTTCTCACTTTAAGTTACAGAAACACTTTTTACTCACAAATCGAGAAACGATGGAATTTTTTGTTTCAGACTTCTCGATGTGAGAACTTCTCACTAAAAGTTACAGAAACGGGGTACAGTTCTAGTTTAAACTTGATTACTTAAAAATGCACATTCTTTGATGTTTATTGAAAAACGTATAATCAACGGTACTTTTTAAAGTAGTAATCAAAGTGTGTTAAAATTTTTATCAAAAATAATTTTTTTTGATATTTTTTGCTGTAGAAGAAATTAATTCATTCATTTCCAATCCCGCAAACTTAAAGCCTATTGTGCCTTAATATAATTGCATACCTTTAGGCTGTAACTAAAATGCACAAGTTCAAAGTAAAAAACTTCTGTTATTTATTAATATTGTAGAAAATATATAATTTTATTGCATTAACTATGTATTTAATAAAAAAAATTCGGAAATAAATGAGAATATCTGTATAGAATTATAAATTTGTGCAAGTTTCAACCTGAATTAATAATCATATAATTGCACCTTAATTATTGTCCTCATTTACACTAAAGCTGCCATAAATAGTGCCACTGCGAGTTCTTTTCAATACATACGATTTACTTGGAGAACCCTGCTTTTCATTGGGTCCAATATACTGGTGGACTGTTTTGATTGCATTACGAAAAATTTCATGATCTCGATGCACAGCACCAGGACGGCGACGTTGAGGAATTCTATTTAGAAAATTTAAAATAAATTTATTCTTAAGAAACAATTCAAATGTAATTGAAATAAAAATGTTACTTACCTTTCATTGCCTCTTTGGAAATCCTCCCTACGTCTTCTTAAATCTAAACGTCTTTTGCAATCGTAGATGTAATAATAAATGCAACACAAGATCAGCAAACCAGCTATTAGGTAAACAAACCAACTGCAGTTGTTAAGGAATCTGGAATTGAAAAATGTATAATTGATTTTTTGAGATTTAATATATGTGAATATTTTAGAAGCTAATGGCAGATTTAATCACAGACTGTTTCTGTGAATTAAGTTCAGTAGAATATTATAATAGTCGTCATTGGTCATTGATCTCCAGCTGACAACTAGATCTGGGATTTTATAATTTCAATTTATTATGCTAAGAAACATACGCATGGCAGAGAATCATTTTGTGATATTAGAGCAAAATGTTTATTAAATTGGCAACTATTATCCTACTCACATTTTAAACATTTCATTGGTTTTCAGCAAAAATTTTGACATTGTTTCAGTATTGGTAGGAGCTGTAATTTGTTTGGGTTTATTCCAGAAAATTAAATATTTTAACATTTTCAACGATATGCCAAATTATAGGCTTATAGATTTTTGATCTCGAAAAAGCTCGGAATGATGAATTTTATGACATAACACCAAAATTCTAATTATCGTTACAAAATTTTTTTAACCAATATTTTTAAAATATCAAAATAAAATGAAAAAATCACAACCGAAAAGACAAATATTTCAATATAGAACTAAAAAAAAAAAAACTAAAAAATAGTTTTCAAAATTCAAAAAATAAAAGAAAACAAGTTCAAAAGTATAGAAGGGATATGCGATTATATGATATCCTACACCAACTGGTGTTGGTCAGACCAATATTATAAAGTATGTTTTGGTAGTTCATTTCCGGGACCAATATTCTGCACAATTCATTCTCATCACAGTTCTGGTTTAGTTTAGTTGTATTTCAGTTCAAGTTCAATTCTAGTTCAGTTTTAGTTCAGTTCCAGTTCAGTTATAATTCCGTTCTAGTTCAGTTTCAGTTCAGTTCTAGTTCTGTTTTAGTTCAGTTCTAGTTCAGTTCTAGTTCTGTTTTAGTTCTGTTTTAGTTCAGTTCTAGTTCAGTTATAGTTCTGTTTAGTTCAGTTCAGTTCTAGTTCAGTTCTAGTTCAGTTCTAGTTCAGTTCTAGTTCAGTTCTAGTTCAGTTCTAGTTCAGTTCTAGTTCAGTTCCAGTTCAGTTCTAGTTCAGTTCTAGTTCAGTTCTAGTTCAGTTCTAGTTCAGTTCTAGTTCAGTTCTAGTTCAGTTCTAGTTCAGTTCTAGTTCAGTTCTAGTTCAGTTCTAGTTCAGTTCTAGTTCAGTTCTAGTTCAGTTCTAGTTCAGTTCTAGTTCAGTTCTAGTTCAGTTCTAGTTCAGTTCTAGTTCAGTTCTAGTTCAGTTCTAGTTCAGTTCTAGTTCAGTTCTAGTTCAGTTCTAGTTCAGTTCTAGTTCAGTTCCAGTTCAGTTCTAGTTCATTTCCAGTTCAGTTCTAGTTCAGTTCTAGTTCAGTTCTAGTTCAGTTCTAGTTCAGTTCTAGTTCAGTTCTAGTTCAGTTCTAGTTCAGTTCTAGTTCAGTTCTAGTTCAGTTCCAGTTCAGTTCTAGTTCAGTTCCAGTTCGGTTCTAGCTCAGTACAGTTCTAGTTAATTTTTAGTTCAGTTTTAGTTCAGTTCTAGTTCAGTTCAGTTTTAGTTCAGTTTTAGTTCAGTTTTAGTTCAGTTTTAGTTCAGTTTTAGTTCAGTTCTAGGTCAGTTCTACTTCAGTTCTAGTTCAGTTCTAGTTCAGTTCTAGTTCAGTTCTAGTTCAGTTCTAGTTCAGTTCTAGTTCAGTTCTAGTTCAGTTCTAGTTCAGTTGTAGTTCAGTTCTAGTTCAGTTCTAGTTCAGTTCTAGTTCAGTTCTAGTTCAGTTCTAGTTCAGTTCTAGTTCAGTTCTAGTTCAGTTCTAGTTCAGTTCTAGTTCAGTTCTAGTTCAGTTCTAGTTCAGTTCTAGTTCTAGTTCTAGTTCAGTTCTAGTTCAGTTCTAGTTCAGTTCTAGTTCAGTTCTAGTTCAGTTCTAGTTCAGTTCTAGTTCAGTTCTAGTTCAGTTCAAGTTCAGCTCTAGTTCAGTTCTAGTTCAGTTCTAGTTCAGTTCTAGTTCAGTTCTAGTTCAGTTCTAGTTCAGTTCTAGTTCAGTTCTAGCTCAGTTCTTGTTCAGTTCTACTTTATTTCTATTTCTGTTCTAGTGCTGTTCTGGGTCAGATCCAGGTCAGTTTTAGTTTAGTTCCGTTCTAGGTGAGGGCCCATATTACGGCATACGATATCGATCGAAATCTCTATAAAGTCTAAATGGAGATTTTGATCGATATCGTATGCCATAATTTGAGCCCAGTTCTAGTACAGTTCTAGTTTACTAATTAAAGTTTAATAAAGTTAAAACCTTAAATCTACTTGTTCTTTCCCCTTCTTCTCATCAGTCGTTATATGTAGCATAAATAGTAAACTAAAAATAAACCTAGCCAATCAATAACGACTTAAATATTTAATACAGACCTACAAACCAAAAAAAAAAAACATACCCAGAAGTACTAAATATCGTAGAACATTTGGAGGAGAAGAAAACCCCAACAAAAATGCTTCTTTAAAAAAATTATAAACTGCATAAACTGGGTCAATGCCAATAGAAACGACAGCATAGTGTGTATTTAACATGTATAATATCTAAACTAAACTACGAATATAAATACAATCTGTAGTCATTTAACAAACAGAACATAACAGAAAAAAACTACTAATAATACTAGAACTAGACAATAGTAACAAGAAAAGAAACAATAAAAAACATACAAAACTATACTGGTAATAACAAAAATAACAATGAAACTAGTAAAAAAAGAAGCGCGCTTACGAAATTAACACCAACATTTATTTGTTTGTAACAAAATAATGTGCATCCATCGATTCTCGATGTGTGACCGACGAACTGAGCACCAGCCAAATGCAGCTGCAGCATAAAATGTTTATTTAATGACGTCATTAGTTGTGTGTAATTGTAACACTGTTAATAACATTTCACCTACATTTCAATATTATTACTACTAGCCTACATGTGTGCTACAGTTTTTATTTAACAGTTACCGTTATAAACGAAACTGTTAAAGTGAAAGCTTTCTCTCTTTTTCATTTACATATATTTCTCCGAATTTTAACTCTTGTTTAACTGCTCTCTAATTATTTCCTTTTACGTTATGGTTGTCAAGGATTCCAGGAATTATCTGAATTTTTCATCTGTTTTTTGTTCTCTATTTGAAAGCTTGCTGGTTAGTTACTATTAGTTGGTTTCTGTGTATCTGAATCTGTTAAGTTTTATTTTTGTCGTTGTGCATTAAAATGCCATAAAATATTTTGATACACATGTTAATGGAACGAACGTTATGAGATAAGAGTTTTTCTATTATTCTCTGTATCCGTACCAGGCTGGTGACATTGATACGTTTTGCATAACTTTACATTATTTGGAATTCAGGTGTTTTGATCAGCGAAAATAAATTTAAGATTTTTGAAAACATTTTAGCAGAATAGTGGAATTTTTTTAGTTTGTCATATTGTCATATTTGATAAACTAAAAACAGTTTTCCTTTTCTTATGTTATGGCAACAAGGATGTTTAAAAATGTAGTAATAGAGGATTTTAAGGACTGTTACCGAAAATAAAGATATACGTTTCTTAACCTAAAATTATATTTAAACAGTTAACTAGGTAGATAAATAGATAGGTAAATAGATAGATAGGTAAATAGATAGATAAATAGATAGATAAAACGATAGATAGATTAGATAGATAGATAGATAGATAGATAGATAGCATAGATCGCTAGCTCGCTCGCTAGACTAGCACTCGCTAGCTCGCTAGATCCTAGATCCATAGCTTCGCATCGCTCGTCTCGCCCTCGCCTAGCTAGATAGATCGCTCGCTCGCTCGCTCGCTCGCTCGCTCGGCTAGCTGCTCGCTCGATCCTCGCTTAGCTCCTCCGATGCTCGCTCGCTACGCGCTCGCTCGCTCGTCTCGCGCTCGCTCCCTCGCTCGTATCGCTCGCTACGCCTTCGCTCTGCTCGCTCGCTCGCTCGCTCGCTCGCTCGCTCGCTCGCTAGCTCGCATCGGTCGCTCCTCGCTCGCCATCGCTCGGCTCGCTCGCTCGCTCGCTCGCTCGCTCGCTCGCTCGCTCGCGCTTCGCTAGCTCGCTCGCTCCCGCTCGCTCGCTCGCCGCTCGCTCGTCGCTCGCTCGCTCGCTCGCTGCTCGCTCGCTCGCTCGCTCGCTCGCTCGCTCGCTCGCTCGCTCGCTCGCTCGCTCGCTCGCTCTCTCGCTCGCTCGCTCGCTCGCTCGCTCGCTCGCTCGCTCGCTCGCTCGCTCGCTCGCTCGCTCCTCGCTCGCTCGCTCGCTCGCTCGCTCGCTCGCTCGCTCGCTCGCTGCTCGCTCGCTCTCTCGCTCGCTCGCTCGCTCGCTCGCTCGCTCGCTCGCTCGCTCGCTCGCTCGCTCGCTCTCGCTCGCTCGCTCGCTCGCTCGCTCGCTCGCTCGCTCGCTCGCTCGCTCGCTCTCTCGCTCGCTCTCTCGCTCGCTCGCTCGCTCGCTCTCTCGCTCGCTCGCTCGCTCGCTCGCTCGCTCGCTCGCTCGCTCGCTCGCTCGCTCGCTCGCTCGCTCTCTCGCTCGCTCGCTCGCTCGCTCGCGCTCGCTCGCTCGCTCGCTCGCTCGCTCGCTCGCTCGCTCCTCGCTCGCTCGCTCGCTCGCTCGCTCGCTCGCTCGCTCGCTCGCTCGCTCGCTCCTCGCTCGCTCCCTCCCTCCTCGCTCGCTCTCTCGCTCGCCGCTCGCTCGCTCGCTCGCTCGCTCGCTCGCTCGCTCGCTCGCTCGCTCGCTCGCTCGCTCCTCGCATCGCTCGCTAGCTCGCTCGCTCGCTCGCTCGCTCGCTCGCTCGCTCGCTAGCTCGCTCGCTCGCTCGCTCGCATACGCTCGCTCGCTCGCTCGCTCGCTCGCTCGCTCGCTCGCTCGCTCGCTCCTCGCTCGCTCGCTCGCTCGCTCGCTCGCTCGCTCCGCTCGCTCGCTCGCTCGCTTCGCTCGCTCGCTCGCTCGCTCGACTCGCTCCTCGCTCGCTCGCTCGCTCGCTCGCTCGCTCGCTCGCTCGCTCGCTCGCTCGCTCGCTCGCTCGCTCGCTCGCTCGCTTCGCTCGCTCGCTCGCTCGCTCGCTCGCTCGCTCGCTCGCTCGCTCGCTCGCTCGCTCGCTCGCTCGCTCGCTCGCTCGCTCCTCGCTCTCCTCGCTCGCTCGCTCGCTCGCTCGCTCGCTCGCTCGCTCGCTCGCTCGCTCGCTCGCTCGCTGCTCGCTCGCTCGCTCGCTCGCTCGCTCGCTCGCTCGCTCGCTCGCTCGCTCGCTCGCTCGCTCGCTCGCTCGCTCGCTCGCTCTCTCGCTCGCTCGCTCGCTCGCTCGCTCGCTCGCTCGCTCGCTCGCTCGCTCGCTCGCTCTCTCGCTCTCTCGCTCGCTCGCTCCTCGCTCGCTCGCTCGCTCGCTCGCTCGCTCCTCGCTCGCTCGCTCGCTCGCTCGCTCGCTCGCTCGCTCTCTCGCTCGCTCGCTCGCTCGCTCGCTCGCTCGCTCGCTCGCTCGCTCGCTCGCTCGCTCGCTCGCTCTCTCGCTCGCTCGCTCGCTCGCTCGCTCGCTCGCTCGCTCGCTCGCTCGCTCG